CCCAAGTTGGATCCCCGATACAAAAAAGAAAAAAAACTACAAATTTCAAAGCTTAAAACAACACAAAATTTTGTTTTTCTTCACCAGTTTCTATGGGCTAAGAGTCTGGGTAAAGGTTTAGTTGGCCCCTTTGCTTACCATCTTACTAGGATTAAATCAAGTAGTCTCGAGCTACACCCTCATCTGAGGATTAGAGTCCTCTTCCACTCTCACTGGTTGTTGGAAGAATCCATTCCCTCAAAGCTGTGTGGGTGATGTCCTTGATTCCATGCTAGCCAAGCCAAGGGATGCTCTCAGTAACTAAAGGCCACTCAGGTCTTTGCCATATCATTCCTTTACTCCCGCACCATGCAAGCTTACTTCTCTAAGGTCAACTCCAGTCACATTCCGGACCTTTTATAGTGTAGCATGGGACTCCTGAGAGTGACTATCGCATCACCATTCTCCACCTCTCTCTCCGTCTTCTTCTTTTACCATTTGTCCAGCCATTGTCATCTCCACCATGGGTCTCTCTATGCTTAGAGGACCCTGTTGTTTGTCTGCCCTGCAGCCATTTACTCTTCTTTCTCCTTGTACATAAAATGACCACATTATTCTGGTATGCAACCCTTCTCTATATAGTCATACTCAATCCAAGTACCAAAGAGGCAAATCCTGATTGGTCAAATGGTGATTTTATTCTTTGCCAGTGACTAGTTTAGGAAAGACATTTGTTATAATTCTGGCCAGTGAAACTTGAGAGAATTCTAATGGTAAGCTTCTGAAAAAAGTTTTCTAGTATGAAAAGAATAGACAAAAGGGAAGATGCCATCACTTTTCTGAGGCTCACCATTTGCAAACAGGCAGCCATTCTTGACCATGAACTAAGTCAACCCTAAGGCTAGGATGAGGAAGACAAAATAAAATGATGGGAAGAATCTGAGTCCTTGGTGATATCATTTTGTTACTGAATTAACAATCCCTAGTCTCTCTGCATTAGGGTCTCATGTTATATGAGACAGTTTTCTTATCACTTCAGCCAGCTTAGATCTGGTTTCCTAAGGCTTGAATTTAAAGACATCTAAGTGATTATGTGCATGTGTATATCAGTCTTTAACTGCGGCACCCAACACAGCATATAATGGATATTATGGTTCCTTTACTTCACACATTATGGTTGGAGATGCTAAAGTAATGATCATGATGACAACAATAATAATGTTAAGCAATGGAACAATGTAGAAAAGGGCTACCTCTGGCCAGCCAGGGAATAAGTTCATGAGCATGAAATTTGTTAAATCTATTGTCCCTGATTTTACTGAAAAGCATCTAGTATAAACATGTAGGTCTAACATTTTTTAATCTTCCAGATGATTCACTGTTCTTTACTTTGAAACTCAGAGTAAGTGTGCCAATGATAGATTTTAGAGGAGCTGTTAATAACTTGTTTTAAGATGTTGATTGAATGCCCCTTTCCCAGTCCAAATCAGTGGAGCATAGTAGTTCAAATAAGACTTTAGTTGATGTGTGCGTAAAAGGGTATTAAAGAGGTAAATAGGATTCACAGTCTTTATTGATATTTAAATAACAGTGCTGAGGTTCCCAATATAAAAATGCCATTTTGGTACTTTTGTGGGTTTGTTGTTGTTGTTGTTGTTGTTGTTGTTTGTTTGTTTTTTCCACAAACATCCTAGCAATACGAATGATGTGAACTCAGTGGTTCTTGGCTTAGAGCGCCAAGTGATCTGCTGGGGAATTATGCTCATGAAAAGATTAATTGATCTGTAGTGGTAAAAACAATTCATCTGATTCTACACAATGACTATGACTTGAAAGTTATCTTATTCCCACTAAATCCATCCTTGTGGATCTCGGAGAAGGAATAGAGAAAGCAAGTCACGCATTAAATTAGCAAGGCAAACTACTTCAGGTAAATGGCTCCATAAAGCCGAACAGCATGAACATTCACCTGGAACTTTATGGGGAAATCTGTCAGTCTCACATTTCTGTTTTATATAAATCCAATAAACAGATGAGGTAAAACTAGGACATTCTGCGAACTTGAGAGAGATTTGTTCATGTTCGCTGAATCACATTTCTTGCAATAGATTAGCCATAAGTCTCTAACGAATAGATTTTTTTTCTCTTTTAAAAGTGAATGGAAATAGAAATTTAAGTTACAGATCTTTTGGGAAGATCTATTTTTAGAGAAAGTGATTTGCTAAGGATATTTGTCACTCATACAACAGGACAGCCAGCTGTGAGCCACGGCATGCATTGATAGTAATAGTCTAGTCTTGGAAGAAAGAGAAAATCTTTTCATTCTAAAAAAGCATTTAAAAAGAACATTCAAGTACAAAGATAGGCAAGATGGGCAGTGAAAGAATGGGAAAATTTAAGGTGTGTGTGTGTGTGTCTGTCTGCCTGTGTGCTGTACATGTAGATTTACTATAGTGTCTCTTCATGAGCTTATCAGTGCATGGGGAAGAACACAATGTCCTCAGTGGGTTATGTGTATCTATACTGCATGCTTCACTGAATGTAAGGAAAACAGATAACTAATATTTATTGCATTGAAACTATGTCTCAAACTCTCTACTAAGAGATTAATGGGGATTATCTCTTCAAATGATCTTAATAGCCTACATTTCTTATTTTCAAAGAGGTTAATAGAGCTATTAGGCATCAAAACCAAGATTTAGACCCAGACAGTAGGATCACTTGGAACAGTCAGTTCCCTATAGGCCTTTGCCACTTACTACAGTGCTACTAATGCTACTATGCGTGGCAACTAATTTTATATGTGTCTGTATATTTTTGTTTATTTTGGAGAATATCGTAAAGGAGATTGGTTTTTTACTGTGCATATTAAATTAGTACGTTACTTAGGCTGATTACCAAACACAACCACATTCTTGATAATACAGTGATGTACTGGGAAGAAAATTAACACTAAAAAGCTAAATCTTACAGTGTCCAGTTAGAATTCCTCAGAGATCTTTGTCCTCATCTTCAAATGTGTTTCTTAACCCACATAGTTTCCTCTGATACCCTGCCATCTGGACTTTGTGACAGTGCATTTGGGGAATCTGAACTCTTTATAGCAGATCCTCACACGGTCTGCTTCTTCATACTGTGTTTCATCTAAAAAAATGCAAGTCACAAACCTTGGACTCATCACTGACTACTCCCTTTTCCTCGAACCCAATCTCCAATCCACTAAGAAATCCTATGGGCTCTAATTTAAAAATATGTCAAGAACATGTCACTTCTTATCATTTCCACTTCTAAACCCCTGGATTAAGCTGCCTGTCTATAGAAAGGAGTCTCTCTCCACGTATAAATTAGTGTAATCCTTTTAATATCAATCACTCAGTGTTAGCCAATGACTATCACAACAGAGAATAACACCAAAGTCCTTACCAAGGTCTCTGAGGTGTTAACAAGGTCCAGATTCTGCATATGTCACTTTTTCCTTCTCCTTGGCCTCCTCCTCTCCCTCTCAGTCTACTCCAGTCATTGATGCCCAAGCTCCTTGATGTTTCTCACACACACACACACACACACACACACACACACACAGATCATACTCCCTCTTTGGTTGAGAGAATGATCAGTATCAGAGCGCTGGTGGGAGATGTTTCCAAGTGGCTTTGGAAAAAGTACTCAGGAAAGTCAAACAATATTTATCAACAGATTGTGCTGCCATCTTAGGAAGTAAGTCCGCAGCAGCTAAGACCATGAGAAAGTGTTCCTCCAGGATGGAGTCCTTAGCAGACAGAGCTGAGAGATGTCCAGATATCCATTAGGTCAAGGGATGCGGGCTCTGATGATAGGACATACACCCTGTCATGAAGCAGGCTTAAGGGGCCACAAGTTTGGAGCTTGGCATCTTCAAAGGCCTGTCTCTGACTCCTAACTCTACCATTTACTATCAGCATGTGGCTGAGAGCTATCTTTTCTGTGCATCCCATCTCTTTATAGTTCAAATTTTTGCATTGATTACTTTCCCACAAAAATATATTTACTTTATCAAAAAAATCTGCATGGGAGTGCAGCACAGAAATGCTGTGCCAGATAAATATGTCAGCTATTTAAGTAAAGGATAATTTGGGCTAAAATATAACAAAAAGGACGTAACAGAGTAATAAAGCAAGTATGGATTTGTTTTTTATATATGGCAAGAAGTCTAGAGATAGGGAATTGCTGGTTCAGCTCAGCTACTCAGTGGAATCATCAGTCTCTTCTTTTGTTCTACCACCTTGGGCTGCTGGCTTATGTCCTCTTGCTTATTGCCTTATCGTGACCTGCTTTAGCTTAGTGCCTTTTACCTGCATTGAAGAAAAGAAGGAAAGAGAGATAGGCATGACCAACCAAGTCTCCTATCTGTTGTATCAGGAAAGCAAACTCCTCTGGGAAAAAAAAAAATCTCCATTGGATGCACATTTCACTGGCCAGAACTGCTATGTGGCTATTGTCTGCTATAAGGAAGATAAGACACAGTGTTGTTTCATGAAAAAATGAAGGTTGTGTTTTATTTGTTTTGTGAATATGTGTATACTTATAGTACATAACAATTATATTCACTTGGGGGAATTGGTACATGTATATGCTATATCTTGATCATTTTTATCAGTTTACTCCACTTCCCCCTCCTCTCTTTCCCGATCCGCCTCCCTATCTCCAAAAAGTCTGTTTCCCTATTTCCTACCATCTCACCTTTATTTTATCCTTTAATTTAGTTATATGTTGTTTCTCATGTAAAAGAAACCATGCCGTATTTAACTTTCTGTGTCTGATTTATTTCATATAACATCATGGTCTCAAGATCCATCCATTTTCCTTCAGTAGACATGATCTCATTCTTCTTTATGTCCCATCATGGATATATACTAGATTTTCTTTATCTTGCCTGTTGATGCACATCTAGACTGATTCCAGAGCATAGCTATTGTGAATTGCATTGCTATAAACATGGATATGCATGCATCACTACAACATGATGCCTTTAACTCTTTCAGAAATACTGTCAGGTTCTATAAGGAAAGTAGTGATGGATACTTACCTGGCTGGGGAGATACCACGATCACCAAAAGAAGTGCTGGAAGTTGATTACACAACTAACGGAGTGTGTAGTGGGAGAAAAAAGTAAGTTGTACATGGAAAAAAACACTGAGAGTGGCTTTGGAATAGATAAAATTGATTGAGATCTAATCCAATCTACAAGGAATTTATAAACTTGGGGTGGTGAGACATGTAAAGAGAGCTAATTACAATGTGATGATGCAAATTGGAATGAGAACTGTATTCAAAATGCAAGCATTCCATTAAAGCAGATCGAAGGAGCAATTAGTTCTGATTGGGATGATGATCTTCATCAATCCAGGTAATATTTATTAAGCACTGCCTGTGTACCAGGCATTTCAATATTATTAGTTAATGTCTCCCTACCGAACAAAACAGAAAATCTACCCACTCAGCCTTAGGAAGGACTAGACAAGAAACAAATAAATGTAACAATATTTAAAAGTTCTAAATGTGACAGACTCTGCCCAGCAGGTGGCACTCCAGCAGGGTGGAGGTGTTCCTGAGCACAGAAATAGCACGGTGCACAGAGGTCCTGCGTGTCACTAAAACACGGAAGGTGAGGATGGAGAGCCAGGGTCAGATTAGACTGGCAGGAAGGTCTGGCTTGGCCAGACCAAGCAGGGCTAATTTCTTCCTTCTCCTCTTGCAGCATAATCTTTACCACTATGACCTTCAATGCCATTATCTATAAATGGAAGTAATAATCCTTTGTGGAGTTGTAGGATGGGTTTAATGAGAGTTGCCTCACAGGAAATGCTCTACTAATTGACTGTTTTCAAGTGATAGTATTCTGGCCAGTGTTCCTCTTCCTTTGGAAATTTGTTTTAGCCTTTCCCAGTGAAACCACACTCAGTTACAGGTAAGGATATAAGACAGGACAATAAAGGTAGAAAACGAACTACTTGCAGAGAAAATGATTCATTTGAACTAATTCATTCATTCATTCTTTAAATCAACATGTCTTAGCAACTGTGACATGTCAGTCATTGCTCTGGACAAGTACTTGGTGTCCAATAAAAATGTAGTACATAATAAACTTGACAGAGAAAAACATAATAAGCCATGTTTGTAACTTAAAAATTTCTTAGTCATCACCTTCATAAAAGTAAAAAGAAGAAGAAATTAATTTAAATAAGTAATAAAAATAGTACTGCTCAGGCATGGTACTCACACCTGTAATCCCAGCACCCTGGAAGGCTGAGGCAGGATGATCACAAGTTCAAGCCCTGTCTCGGAAAGTTAGCAATTTAGGTAGACCCTGTCTCAAAACATAAAAAAGGCTGGGGTTGTAGCCCAGTGAGAAGGCCCTGAGTTTAATCCCCAGTGCTGTATTCAAAATGATGAGATCATTGGATTTTTTTAAATCAAATCTCCCAAATCACGGTATATTTTGCTGTGCCCCATGCTTCAGTTCATACTAACCACATTCCAAGTGTTCAAACGCCGCAGGTGGTGAACGGCTTCATACTGAACAGCTCTTCACACCTGGGAAACAAAAGTGAACAAAACAGATGAGGTTCTGCTCTCAGGGGCTTTGCATGCTAAAGGCAATGGCCTCTTGGTTTCTTTTATTAATTGGAGTGTGAAATTTACACCTGGCTTTTGGCATATAACACAGAAAGAAAAGGACAGAAAACATGTTCTTATCTCCTGGTATACCTAGAAGAGTAACCCACTCGGTTTTAATTAAAATCCTAAATATCAATCCAGCATCTCACTATTACATATTACAGTTCTCTTGTTAAGCAGAAGTTCTCAACCTCTTGCCAGCCCCGATCAGTTAGTACCAGACATAAGCCATACCTGCCCTTTCCATTTTGATTTGTTGGTCATACTGATTAGTTATTCAACTGCTGAAACAATGCACAAATCTCAGTCAATTATCACCATAAATATTTGCTTCATGACGCATCAAATACTTGCCAGAAATTCTTATTTTAGTATTCTAAAATCCACCAGCATTTTTATTTGTGGCTTGTGATGACTAGGCCTGTTTAAGAAAGTTTTCCTGGGCCAGAGGTGTAGGTCAGTGTCACTGTGCCTGCCTGGCAAATGCAAGGTCCTGAGTTCAATCCCCAGTACCACACACACACACACACACACACACACACACAAAATCGTATCTCAGATGTCAAAGGTAATTCACCTACATTTTTATTGTTAGTTTTATTCTTAGATTTTTACTTCAACTGGAAATTTGTGGCATAAGAAGATGAAAGAATCCAACTTGTTTCTCTCAAACAATTCTTGTACTTAATTCTGCACACATTCCCACAAACTTTTTTCGGAGTTCTGTATTTGATTTGATTCCATTGATATATATCTCCGCATAAATATTATGTTTCCTTTATTCCTATGGCTTTCTTTGTGGTATGCTTTTAAAAATCTTACTCTGATAGCGCCATCTTTGCTCCTTCTTAACAAAGTATTGAATCTTTATTTTGACTTTTTTATTGTGTAAAATAATTTTTTCTATCCAGATGTTAAGTTGTCCAATATTATGTTGAGGTTACATCCAACTTCTACAGTCATTTGGAAAGCACTAACTCAGTAAAATGTTTGGGTACACTGTCCAGAACCATGATATATCTTTCTATTATTCAAGTCTCTATACGTGGTCTTTAATAAAACAATTGAATTCTGCACGAGGCATCTTTGCTGCTCTTCAGAACTTCTCCTGGGATCTACATATTAACTCATATTTTTTATATCCAGCAACTAACTGGTTCTGTGAACAGCTTGAATCTTCATGTGCCATGCCTCTAATATTATATTTTGCTTTAATTTTCTAGGATATTTATTATGCCTATGTTAAATTTATGTTCCATTCTGCTCTGTGCTTTGCCTTCTCTGTGTCATGTCATTTTTTCCATGGGTAAAGACTCTCCTAGGAGCATTTGCTGCTTTGGCTGGTCATTTGCACCTAACAGATGGAGCAAAAGCCCAGGCTATAATTTAAGGGTGAAGAATGCACCACAGAGCAGACAAGTTCTTGTGTTATTACCTGGATCCAACCAAGCAACACTGCTCTTCAGGAAAAGTTTTGTTTACCTCCATATTGAGCACTTCTTTTTTGCCAAGAGTTGCCACATAGTCCACATGTAGACAGCAGCAGGCAAAGGAAAACTTTAGGGTCAGTCTTTGGCCTGATCTCTCTCTCTCTCTCTCTCTCTCTCTCTC